TTTCATTGGTGGTCTAACTTACATCGACTCATGAATTCAACTATTAAAATCTACCACAATCCCCCATTTCTTATAAATTTCCAATAGCTAACTTGTCAAAACAACTACAATAATTGATCTTCTCTCTTAAATGAAATGTCAAGTTCTCTTTCTTTTCTCCCTACTTCGATATTTCCATTTATTTATTTATTTATTTATTTTTAATTGATTTACCTTCCTTCAATAAATTTGACATTGATTTATACATTTTAATATGTATTGCCTAAAATCTTAAAGAAATATACCTAATCAGGAATTGATCTCCTGCCAGAAGGTCCACTTATCGACTTAAAATACGCAGATGACATAGTCCTGTTTGGTGAAGACGCTGATAAAATGTAAAGTCTTTTGGTAGCACTAAGTAACAATGCCAGGATGTTTGGGATGCGTTTCTCCCCATCTAAATGTAAATTGTTACTCCAGGACTGGCCTGCGTCAACACCCGAACTAAGTACACGGAGTGAAGTGGTCGAACACGTCGACAACTTCACTTATCGTGGAAGACTGATTAGCCCTAATGGGTTGGTGTCTGACGAAATCTCAGCACGGATTCAAAACGCTCGTTTGGTTTTTGCCAAATTACATCACCTTTGACGAAGGTGAGATATCCATCTATGAATTAAAGGACGAGTATACTGCGCAGCAGTTCTCTCTGTTCTACTTCACGCCTACGAAACGTGGTCATTAAGATTAGAAGATACTCGTAAGTTACTAGTCTTTGATCACAGATGTATTAGAAATATTGCTCGCAACTCCTGGGATCATCGGGTGAGTAATAGTGAGGTTAGGCGCAGGGTAGTAAGGAATGATGGTAAATCAGTTGATAAGGCTGTAAGTCTTCATCGACTGAGATGGTTAAGCCACGTGTTACGTATACCTGAACACAGATTACCACGGCGCGCAATGTTGACTAGTGTTGTAGACGGATAAGAGAAAGGTAGGGGCGGACAAACCAAAACGTAGCATCAGTGCTTGAAGTCACTAACTTCTAGTCTGTGCCATGTTGGTAGATGCAGACTATTTGGTTGGTGTCCGCGTGACTATCGTAACTAATGGTTGGAGACTGTGTGTGACATGGCTCAGAATCGATCACAATGGCGTAGGTGTATACACTCTTTGTCTTCCCTTAAACCTTGAAATTGAAACTGCTTCTTAACTTTTTTCCTTCCTATACTATATCTTTATATACAATCTTTCTTTGATATATTACCACAACTTAATTAACTACTTCTATGAATTCGGTGTTCATCTTGTTGTGCTGATGAGAGATGACAATTTGAAACCATGCATAAATGTGCCTGGTCCTACGTTGTAGCTGACCGGGTTGGTGGACACGGAAAATCCACCTAGGGAAGTTGAAAAACCCTGATTCCAAACCAATGGTGCACATGGGCTCCAGTATCCTGAGGGAACAAATGGCGAATGAATCAATCGTTGGTCACCGACTACCATGGGACTGCATCTTCTCACGATGCTCCACTGCCTTGTGGATTAGATCTTTCGGTCAAAGGCTTCGGGTATGGCCTCCTGGGAAAACCACCTGCTTCAGTTTGGGCACCTGGGCAGTGTCACAGCCCTCACACAAGTCAAATGAGATTTGTGTGGCGCATATATATCTGGTTCCTCCTTGTACCAATATTTATTTTTTTAAATAAATAAATAATCAGTCTCGCGTACGAACGTTTTAACTCTAGACCACTGAGCCCCCCGGCATCCAACAGCTATTAAAATTACTATAATACCCACAAAAACCCTTTCTGTTATTATAAATGTATTATATTTTATATGAAGAATATGAAACTCAATATTTTTAGTTATATGATTATATAACTATTTTGTAAATAAGTAAATTAAGTAGGCAAATTATATTTATATTCATTTTCTAGACTTATATCAAGAATAAAAGGAATGATAGGTTTGTATAATAGAATGTATAGAAGAATAGTAATAGATTAAGTCAATATACATAGGTATAGATTAAACTTTTTCTTCGGTTGATGAACAATCGTTATATTTGAATCCATTTGGTATTGTTTTGTTTGAATCTTTCCATTGATGTTTAGGATTGTAATTGATCAGTCTAAATGAATTTAAACTTCACCCTATTACATGAGCTAGTAACTATCTGGACTCAGTAACTAAGCCGATTACACAATAACATTCTGAACGAACGGTAGTGGATTTGAGTCTCGGAGTAAACATCAACTCTGGGATGCAGGTATATCCAGCTTACAAGTTCCAAATAGGATAAAACATGAGTCCTAAATTCCACTGCTGTCGACAAACCGTCTTTGCTTATAATTGCTACATTAATTCAATTCTGAATGGTTTGAATCATACCGTCGTAGATATTGTTAACAGAAATTTGATCAGTTTGTATACTCTAGATTAAATTGTGTTATAGTAGGCAGAATAAGTTAATCTGCACAGGATGGACATATTACAACTAAGACTGACTGAAAATTTCAGTCAAATCTCAATAAAGGGATAATTTAAACAATCTCAAATTGAATTAAAACACATACATGTTGCACAATTTAGTGGTTATTTGAACTGACTAGCTGAACGGAGTCTGACTCGGATGGTACTTGGTTCGAGTCTTGGGGTAAACATCAACTCTGAAATGAAGCCACATTCAGGCTGAGGAGTTCCGAACAGAACTCCATTGAGAACTACATTCCATCTATTCCATACCATATATAAGATTAGTAGTGTTTTGTTCTTTGAGCTAAAACACTGAATTGAGAAGTTTTCATTGTTGTCTTGAACAACATCATTAACCTCTAATCCTAAAGAGAGTAGATGGTGATGATGTATGTTAGAAAACGTGAAAGTTTTATCGAAAAACAAACTTTACTAAAAAATAACTAATATCTCTCCAATGGTGTGTCTTCACCAATAAACTCTGCCAACGACAGTTACGTACAGATCAGCTACCTAGTGAACAATCTGGAAGACAAACAATGAAGTTAGTGGTCACGGTTATCATATTCATAGTTAGTCACATAGGCTCAAATATACAACTGCAACACGTATCTTCTTGATTCCTGACGTATAGTAATCCGGCAAAATAAACCATATAGTCTTCTTTTGTTAGACAATCCTTCTAAAATTAGTCTTTTCTTTCCCTAAGCATTAATTATGAAGAATGGAACTATATGGATAAAACAAATGCAGATTCGTCTCTTCTAGCCTATACGTTAATAATGTCAAATACATAAATTTTTCTGTTTATGTATTGAGAGAACGAATTATTCAACCAAGCATAAAATGAATCCAATAGATTGTGATTGGTTTGACAAATAGCTTAACATACATTCCAGTCAAACCAGTAAACTGTCTTATGAATTAGTTTATATGGAAGCTAGAATCATCTTAATAATCAAGTGGATCTATGGAATGGCGGAAGGTAATTTCTTCATAGTTCGCACCTATTTTTAAATACGAATCAATAACATTTTACTTCAGTAAAATGTTGGTTTTAGTCATTGAATTGATATTTGGCTCTCACTTTTCTCAATCTTAACATCTAATTAAAAAGTGGGACATTTACAAAGCATATGAACATTTCCTACCTGGTGATATACTTGTTGAATGAGTGTAGAGAGATGGAATAGTTCTGCTCGGTAAGGCAACTGATAAAATTAAGAATCGTCTAAAAACCTTCAGTAATAGAATAATAATTTCAAAATGACATTATATATCTAGAAGTCCAATAGTGTTCTGTAATAATTTATAGTGCAGCCACAGTAAGTGATGTAGTCGAACGTATTCAGTAGTGCAATTAAGGTAGAAGTTTAATCGAAACCTAGTGTACTTTATATGATGAAATCTAGATAAAAATACAAAACTTTTACTTGGCTTTTATCAACTTATACTATCTGAGGAGTATGTAAGAATTTTATTTGCTTTCCAAAGTATACCCAGCTTCCCTACACTTTGTACAGTTGTTCATCAGTGAAAATTTGTGAAATAAGATTTATGCAAATTCTATGTCTTTGCTATGGGTATTTTCGAAGCATTTCTCATTTATAATGCAGTTGTTATACAGGTAAAACTAACACTAGACCCAGGGTTTTAAGTAAAAACGATGTGCCTAATGATAAAGCCAGAAGCCTCAAACAATTGAACTTCCTTTACGCGCTTGGGCACCATTCATTTTAATGTGTCATACTTTTCGACATTGGATTAGATTGAATAAAACGGTCTAAGAGTGATTAGACTTGGACTTTACATAACAATATGAAGTTAAGGGAATGAAATATGGAGCATGTTAGGAAATGTAGACTTACTAGTTAAGGTCTACACAATTTATGGCTGGAGAAGCTGGATGACATAGTTGAAGTCGGTCATCTATTTTTCCCAGATAATAAACTAAGTTTTATTATATACTTCTTAACTTAGTCTAATTTATTACCTCTGAATTATATAGGTTTTACTAAGTTTTCAATATAATTGATACTTTTTTAACTTCATATATTCCTATCCTAATCACATTCCACTCTTATATGTTGTATAGTGATGTACGCAGATATAAATTTGGGTCAATGCTTATTTTATTTACAACTGAATGATGAACACCGATATCCATTATCAGCTTGAAAGATATTTCATATCACTCCTACTTTAATACAATCTACCATAAACCGATATATTATTATCTATATGGTAGCTTAAAAAAATTTAGCATTTCAAAGATTTCAATAGTTGAATTCATGAGTTGATCTAAGCTAGACCATCCTAAGAAGTATGGAAGCACTGAACAGCCGTTTTGTTCTAGTATAGAATTCCAGGTAGTACATATCCACTATCCCGCACACGAGACTCAAACCCAGGAACTTCAGTGTCGCACAAGAACGCTTAACCTCTAGACCATTGAGACGGCATTCAACGGATTGTTCGAAGTTAGATATTAACACCGATGGATTACGTAACAATTATTCAAGATTAAAAAAAAACAATTAAATTCATCTAAATATTATTTCATTAACAAAATATGTATTACATAATTTTAAAAAATCAATAAAGTTCATTTATACAAAGCATAGAACATGTAAAACAGAGAATAGAACTTGATCAAGTACCTAAATTAGAAATCAATTAAGCATTGAAAAAAATTATACCTTAATCAAAGTGGATTATTCATCTCATAAAGAAGAAGAAGTAGAAGGAGAAAAAGATAAACTTTCCTCTTGTTACTAAGGAAAAAACTAGAGTTTAATAAATAAAAAATTATTAAAATATTACCTAAAAAAATCGAAAATTAATCAAAGTAAAGGAGAACAGAAAAATAGATTATCTGTTGTTTTTATTATTTTATATATAAAAAATCATATTTTCAGTAGTATTACTCTGTTACTTCTATTTTAAGATCACGTTTTTCAGATTTGTTTAATATTTCTCTTGATGATCGTGATGAAGATGTCGGTGATGATGACGATGATGTTGATGATAATGATGATGGGGATGAGGAGGAGGATGGATACAAACACCAATGTTGTACCATGAATAAAATATCAAATCCAATTGATAAAACACCTAATCCAAGCTTGATTGGTGACCCAGTTATACTGCTAACATCATCTGTGTGATAAAAATAGAAAGCACTATAGAAAGTCTATAATATCGCTTTATAGAACTAAGTATAATCATCATTTATACATAATAGTGACATGGTAGGGAACAATATTACCAAGTCTAATATAAACCAAATCGATAAACTGGTCTATATCATACACAAATATAAAATGAAATAAAATATTTACATATTCAGATGAAATCACCATGATAACAGTATTTGGTGTCTAAAGTCTAATGTTTATTCAATGGTTTCAACTTTTGTGTTTAGTCAATTATTGGTGATATTACTGTGATGTGGTCTACTTATATCCGTATAAGTAGTATATGGTGATGGTAAGACATAGAATGTATTTTAGTAGAATACCGATAAATGAAGAAGAGGAATGAAGCACGATCCGTACGAAAATGCATGAACAATGAAATCACAGAAGATGGAGTGATATTTGCAGAAGGAACAGTTAAGATTGAAACAAATGAACTGTTTACTACTGTATGGTTATCAGAATTTAGTGAGATAGCCTGTAATTTGTGCTTAAATACATTCGAATGTCCCCCACCCGTGTTCTCGTTCACTACATTACCAATGATATGATTCACAGATGAACTGACACAAAAAAAAGCTTCGTTATATCACAATTAGTAACAAGGTGAAATCAATAACATCTACTGATTAATAAAAACAGTGTTCCATTGATAATTAGATGGAAGGTAGAAACTACTTAACTCATTATATATATCTTTAATTAATACACCGTCAATGACTTACGGAGCAAAATTATTTTGAATGGCAACATTGTTTGAGACTGAATAAATTAGTTTGACTATATATGGTTTAATGCATGGTTAACGACTACGATACTAAAATCATATATAACAAATCACTTCTGTTTGTATTGTCATGTGTATAATATTACGTAATTCGTTAGTCTAACCTTTGTAGTATATTCAAAGTATACACAAAGATATTGTCTTTGAAAATCAGTACCTGATAATGTCATATCACTTAGTGTAATGTATTTACTTATTAAGTGAAAATAAATATTTAGTATGAGAACATTTAAAAGTCAGGTTTGGCATACCATATATTAAAACACCAGAATATGTTTTCAGTTTGTGGTTGTGGAAATTGTTGAGTTTCAAATGAGATCATGAATCGATTAAAATTAAACCACCAGTGAAAATCTTGAAGCACTGGACGGCCATTCCGTTCGAATCCCGCTTGCGTGTTCGTGGGTGCATACGGTTAATGAGTTAAATACTAGGACAAAAAGGCTATCCAGTGCTTCCAGATTTTTAATGGTGGTCTAGCATTGATCGATTTATGATCGCAATCGAAACATCAGAATATAATTATAATAGAGAAATAAATGTACCCCTCATATATAAAAAAATTTATCCCTTACTCGTATTGTATGCTATAATAAACATTTGTGCAATGCTTAGAATTCCTCCAGTGAAATCTAATATAATATTACCTATACTCCAACCAACTGTACTCTTTCGACGAAAATTCATTAAAGCCTAGATTTATGTTTAAAAATTAAAAAAAAGAAGAAAGAAGCATACAATACACATATTACTGAACCTTAATCATGGAATGCTTAAAATAGACGTTGATAATAAACCCATATATTAGATACCTCAGTATTTTCATCACGAATTATTTATATTAAGCAAGTAAACAAATTGATCTGTTACAGTTAAACACTATCATTGTTTCTTAATAAACCAAATCAAAATAACAGATTCCTGACCAGTGGAAGGTAGTCTGTGTAGGGTGTGAAACAATTATCTACTGCAGGAGATGGATGAAGGCTTAAGCAAGATCATGGATTAATTGAAGTTATACATAAACATTGTTTGAAACTGACTCAGTGGTTAAACGTTCAATCACGAGATCAAAGGTCCTGTGTTCGAGTTCCGTGCACGGGATCTTCGGTGCGCACGGCTGAGAGGCCCGAAATCAAGACAGAACGGCCGTCCGGTGCTTCTACGTTTTTGATAGTGGTCTAGTTAAGATTAGTTTGTGAGTTCAACTGTGAAAAGTATGATATTATTGAAAATTACTGAACAAAATAATCATAGTGTCTTGTATAATATTACTGTATCTGACTATAAGAATTCATTAAGAAAGGACTGCAAAACATAAATGTAATATAACTCATTTATCAGGTTTATGTTTTTTCGCAAATAACTTCCAGACACATGACTTATATGAAGCCATGTGATACATTATCATAAGTGCTCAAAATCAAGTATATGTCAAAATATGTTCAAATCTACAACTAACAGATTAAATGACTATTATTAAAACAATCAATTCGTAACTCTCATATCAGGCAAATATATGTACATTGATCTTTCACTATCATCATTTAACAAGTGGATAATAAGTCTACTCTGTCATTATCAAGTTATTTGTGGTAAACCATTCATAACAAAATATTTCCGAACAGCCATTGTCTACCTTGATTGGCACCTATTTCATGAAGCTAACTATATATGTTCCGTGTTACAAGTATCAGTCTTTTTAATCAATAACGTACTTCAGTCACTCCATGAGTTAGTATAATCCATATATATAATAAAAAAACTGGTCCTATTTATTGTAAGAGTGTATTGCGTATCTATCAAGCTATCAGACCATATCTTAGCATGATCTGTACTTTGTAATATTGATAAATTGGACTATCCAGTGCTTCAAGGTTTTCGTATGTTTATTTCTAACATACAGTAACAAACAGTAACTTTTATTAAATGTACCCTGATGAGATAATTACTGAGATAAAATGAAACTTAAAGAATGAAGATCAACATGATCTATGTCATTTCAAGAAAGTGTCATTTTATCGATATTCATTTTTAATTTTTCAACCTCCCGCTTGTGTCTTTAGTTAACCTACATCTTCAATAGTCAATTTCCAAGGAAACATCACAAATCTTCAAACAAATATTTGCCCATTTTCCACTGGAGTGATAACAAACGTCTGTTTTATCGTACGCACCCAATTATTAAAGAATAAGTCAAGAGTCATTGAAAATATAGTTCATATTCAGATGGAGGATATTTTGTATTATTACTTTCGTCAATGAGTTGTTCTTTTGAATGCAGAGAATGTTATAACAGAAATTATCTTTATCAATCGATAGACCATTGCACAACTGTACTTTTTGATATTCACAAATGTTACAAAACACTCTATTCACTTGGTGTTGTTTACTTGTATCTTCCCATTGTTGTTTAAGACTGCAATTGTTGACATATGTTCATCCTGTGCGGACTGCCTCGATATTGCCTTAAGTCACAAACTTTATAAGCAAAGATGGATAGCGGCTAGCTGTGTAATTCAGAACGCGCGTTTCGTCCTATTTGAGACTAGTCAGCTGGATGTACCTGTCACATCCTAGAATTGACATTCACAATGGAACTCGAACCCAGTACCGCTCGCTTCAAACGCCATTGCGTAATTCACTTAGCTACTGAGTCCTAATAGCCAACTGTTTGTGCAATGAGGTGAAGTTATATTCACTTGGTGTTATTTACTCATATCTATCAGTAAGAAACGCGCGTCCTGGATTCTACTGCTAGTCACTATCCATCTTTGTTAAATACACACTATATCAATAAATTGTTTTATAATATCTAGATAGACTACATTCATTTAATTGTCATGTGATAGTACGAAAATATATTGTATTTATACTACATAGATACTAGTCGAAATATTATGATTAAACATCGACTGAATCATAATGCAATTGTAAAAAGGATCAAATTAATTTAGAATACTTCAGTAGATAAGTTGTAATCCAAAATGTGATCAACTACATTAGTTTTGTTTACAGTTCGTTGTGTTGTTGTTGTTTGTTGTTTTATTGTATTCGGCTATACAGAACTTGTACTTTGATAATGAAATATTGAAAATAAAACTATTTTTCAGAATATCAATTATTGTTTGATATTTTTAAATTTAAATAGTTTGTTTAATAAAGTGAAAATTTTTATAAGATAAATCTAGTCCCTGTATAATAATTGTTCGGATTCGTTGGTCAGACACTATCAGAAACAACCTACTGTGGGAGAGAACAAACCAGATTTCAGTGGAGGAAGAAATCAGGAAGTGGATTAGACACATATTGAGGAAAACACACAACTGCGTCACAAGGCAAGTTCGCACATTGAATCCTGAAGGGCAGAAGAAAAGAAGAAGACCAAAGAGCACATTACGTCTAGAAATGTAGACAGACGTGAATAAAATGAACAAAAGTTGGATAGAAGTTGAAAGGAAGACCCAGGACAGAGTGTGTTGGAGAGTGCTGGTCGGCGGCCTATGCTCCATTAGGAGTAACAGGTGTAAATAAGTAAGTTTGACAAAACAGGGGTAAAATTCTTACAATTGAAGAATACTTGTAAATCAGAACATTTGTTAGTCAACACCAAAGTCAGAATTTTCATCACAAACCACACGATAGTTATGTCATACAAAGATGAAACTTCAAAAATTACTAAAACTATCATTAAAAATATACGATTATTTGTAAACCTTTTTCTAAGCAAAATATTTAATACCCGTTTGCCAGAATACCATCTTTAACAATCTACTGTAGTCGATTACAAGCCAGATTCCAGTTAAAGAGGAAATTAAAGAGAGACACAGGATATGCAAAGGACATACACTAGAGAAATCATCAAAAGAATAACTAGCACTTGGCATCGACTGAAAAGCAGGGTGCTGGATAGAGTTTAATGAAGAATCCTAATTAGTAGCCTATGTTTCACAAGGGATAACATGCGTCAGTAAGTAGGAAAGTAACTCATAGTTAGTGGTTATAATTATCGATTTCATACAAATCGAAGAAGAAAGGAAGATTCCTTTCATGAAATTACCTTAAATTGACTAAGAAAACTTTCATTATTAAAATTACAAAAATAAAACTTAATTAAATAAACATTCCACATATATATAATTACATCCGATCTTTACTTACCTGTGGTGCATATTTAATGAATGAGATAAATAGTTTAATATAAGATAAGAAATAGAATGTATCTAACCATTCAGTGACCTGAACTTTGCCCAATATACAAATGATTATTGTATAGATAATGATTAATATTATGATTCCTATACAGGTCTTTGATACACGTTGACGACCGCGCTGAAATATAAAAATGACTATTATAATGGCAACATTTGAATGGCATAATAGGTAATATTATATAATAGGAAAATGAATTATGAATATAAAGTTGAATATTAATTACTCTTCCTCTTGATTAAATAATGATGTCATATGATAAGTGTCATATTGTGGTGAACCAGAACACGGGCAGGGACAATCGAATGTATTTAAACACAAATTACAGACTATCTTACTACATTCTGATAACCATACAGTAGTAAACAGTTAATTTGCAAAATAACAATCAATTGTCTCATTGCTGACTGTTCCTTCGGCAAATATCAGTCTGTCTTCTCTAGTTTCATTGTTCATACATTTTTGTACCGATTGCGTTTCATTCCTGTTCTTCCCTTATCGATCTTCTGCCAAAATATATTCTATGTCTGACCATTACCATATACTAATTATGTGGATAGAAGTAGACCACACCACACCACAATATGTCATAACAACTTGTTTATCTGCAACGATCGTTATGGAAACATACTATAAATAACAATGCATTTATATTTAATTATCTCTTATCAAGCGTAACTTTAAACTTTAAACAATAGTTTTATGAAGTTTAAATACGGAGAGTAGTGAAACAAATGTAAACTGTTTCTACTTGAATTCAAGTAGTGTTGTTTGTTTGAATCTTCCGATTGATGCTTAGGACTGCAACTGTACATTCAGCTGACAAGTCCTAAATAGGACGAAACGCGCTTCCAGGATTCTACTGCTAGCCAATATCAAAATTTGTTTCTACTTGGTTTCATATGATATACTTGGTAAATTTACATTTCAAGAAAATTGACAATTGTAATGGAATTAATTGCTAGTTCTAAGTTTAGTTTCATTCTTAGATAGTCTAGATATATGAAAAAGTTACGAAATACGAAGAAGGAAGCATAGTGGTTTGCACTTTAACTTACTATTCAAAATACAGTCAAATTGTAAATGAAGACAAGGTGAGACTATAATTTATCGATGAACCAATCAGATTTACGATAATAAGTCTTGGATTTTGGAACAAAATTCATTCATCCATTCGGCTAAATAGCATCTTGGCATTTTATCTGATGTCAGTTCGTGATGAAAACCCTAAATCTAGTTTGTAACCCTAACCATCAACTGTAAATCGTAATTCTAATTCCTCACACTGCCTAATAACATTCATTTATCTGTAGTAAGTAGGTGGGCATTCTCTAGGTCATTTTATTGTTGGTCAAAAGTCTTCCATAAATTGTAGTCTCACCTCAGACAAATATTGAATTATCTTTCCAAGAAGTCCATATTCCAAAAGAGATTGATTTAGTTCCGTTTCAAATAATAACAAGTGGATATTTATATATTATTATTTGAATAAGAAGACGTGTTCAAAGAACAAAGATTATGGATAATATTCACTTGTGTCATTTTCAAACATTTATTCACCGAAATTAATTGACCACTTAGTAATGACTAATCTCATGTTCGTTCTAGCACTTAAAGCAAAACGACTTCTATTGATATTCTCTGAGATTACTTACTACCCAATGATCAATTATAAGTAAATATCTCAGTCCTACAGGCGATCAGTCTTAAACTGTGACATTAGGTAATATCGACTCAAATTCCCCAGTGAGCGTCCATCCCTTCAAGATTCCAAGTACAATTATTTATCAGGATGAAACCTTGACTCATGGTTTCCTGCTAATCATATTTAACAACTTAGTATTATTTCCATTGGACAGCAATAATGTTTTCAACTAAACAAATAACATGTTGATTTATCTGTAATAAAATATTATTAATCAGAAGGGGTTTTGTGGAGATTTCAGTATTTTCATGGTTGAAATCATGAGTCAATTGAAGTTGATTGAAGTTAGACATTAACACCATTGGATGCCGGCTCAGTGGTCTAGCGGTTAAGTGCTCCGGCGCGAGACTGATAGGTCCTGGGTTCGAATCTCACGAGTGTGGGATCATAGATGCGCACTGCTGAGGAGTCCCATAATAGGACGAAACGGCCGCCCAGTGCTTCCAGGTTTTCCATGGTGGTCTATCTTCAATTGACTCAGGAATTCAATTATAAATTGATCAAAATCTCCACAAAACCCTTTCCGATATTAATACTCTGTGAAATTCGATTTAAAAATACGCTAGTCTTTGTGAAAAATATTTAGATTAGTAAACTAGAAATCTGAGATTGAATTATCTCATGATTAGTTTCTTTTGTGTTTTTTTTGTTTTATATCAATATGTTGGCGGTAATATTAAAAAGAAAAGAAAAAAATGAATTATTTTTTTAAGGGCAAACACCTTTGAACTCTTCTATTTGAACAAACAGAAGCTCTCCTACAGATACTTTAAACTTTATTATTTTAAGCTTATTTGACGTAAATAAATTTATTGAACTTAATAAGAAGAAATAAATGATGGCTAATTGTCAAATCTAGGACGTGCATGTCGTCCTAGTCGGATTTCCCTATATCTTAGAATTAATGTACGCTATAAGACTCGAACCCATTACTGCTCGCTTCAAACGCCATCACATTAATCACTTATAATGTATTAGACTTTGACTATAAAAATAAAATGGATAATCACTTTGATAGTAATAACCTTCCCTCATATCATCAGATTATGATTTCGAAGTTATGTCATTGAATGTTTTCTTTATTTTTTTTCTTTATATCTTACGTAATAATCAATTTGAGAAGAATGTTTACTTCAATGATACACCACAATAAGAATAAGAATAATAGTAATAATGGTTCTGTACATCAAATTTCAAGTGAACAACAATAAGAAGAATTTGAGTTATTCATATACATAACAAAGCGCTAATCATATTTGTAAAAGATCATGTCTAATAGTTATAATATTAAGAAATTAAATGAATTCGATGTTATATAAGTAGTATGTATATCTTAAACAAAAAGTATAATGATAATTTATATGGCATACCAAATAATATTTAAAGACTAATTCATGATTTCATCTAAGTTAGATCACTATAAGAAAGAAAAAATGGAAGCACTGGATGACTGTTTTGTTCTTAAGATCCACTCACAAATTCAACTATTAAAATTATTACAATCTTCAAAAATCTCTCATTTTGATAATAATCATCATGTGCAGACTAATGACTAGCTTCAAGATGTAACTCCTAGAATTTTAATGAAAAGCCATGACAATTGGAGTATGACTTGTGTTAGGTGGTGACAGTTATAATCGAGACTATAATTTATGGACGAGCCAATAAGAAGTGTTTGAGGGATTTCAAGGTCACAGCGTCAATTTTAGTACCTGATGCTCATGTACAATCAGTTCTCAGAGAATTCCAGAGAAGACATGACAATTAAGCGGCTACAATATAAGTGGGACTAATAAGAAGTATCTTTATTTGTAATTGCAGTGATCAAATGACTTGTAGACCTTGTGCAGACTGCCGTGATGTAGTCCTTCGATGTAATATATGTTGGAGGAAGACGTCGGATAGAATAGGAACTTTTTTCGCCCGTATCAGACTGAGACTAAGGCAAATTATAATAATTAACGCGAACTGTATAATAAAAGCACCATTAACATTGGCTGCAATATTCGCAGATGTTACTGAAGCTTCCACTGTTCAGTGGTATGAGTAATGTAGGATATATTCGTAATAAAAATGACAAGCTTACACAACTGGAGTAAACATAAACTATATTGAAGCTATGTGGTCGAGGTTGGAAGAGTTTTTACGACATAATCAAGGCTCCAGAGACCGACTATTATAGAGCCTTACGGATTAGTTCCTGCACTATTAAAATTACTGCAATCTCCAAAAACCCGAATTCTAGTATTTCGAAATCGTCAAATATATTATAAGTATACATTTTACTAAGTTAGCAGTTGATCAACATATAAAAGTTGAATTGTTGACTAACGGAAACAGTTTCATTTATTGTTAAAATTGCACAGCAGTGGTATCCCGAAGTAGCATTTCATCCTTATTTGTAAGTCACCAAACGGATGTCTCTGCATGCCAATGTCGATACTGAAACTTAAACCTATTGACTTTCGTTTTAAGCGATAACATAATATATATTGAGATACTTATTCTTAGTAGCCACTAGCTTGTTAAGTGGCTATGAGTTTTATTTAGTGTTCGAAATAGAAGGTAATAGGTTCGAGTCTCATTAAAAACATAAATACTAGAATGCGAGTATATTCAACTGGCGAATTATAAATTGAGGTAAGCGCATATCCTTGATTTTACTGTAGCCCAGTATCCGATGTTAATAGAAACTCATGACTAAATGGCAATATCAAGTTGCTTCTTTCAAGACCCAAATATACCAACAGAGTTTGACTATTTGCAATCCCTAATATCAATAATGGCAAAATATAAACCCTTCAAAATTAAACTCATTTATCCCTTACAAGTATTAAAGAAAGTTTATAGTGTGTTGAAAACTGCCACTGATTTAAAGAAGATTATAGTTCAACTTCGTCGAAATTCTCTTGGGGACAAGTGAAAATTTGACTGATAAAGATTGAATATCATAGTAAGATCAGACTAATTAAAACTACTTTGATCTTTACCAAATTCATCAGCAAACCTACGGAACCATAATATACCTAAACTAGTCAAACATATCTCCACATAAGAGAATTACTGAATGAACTTACCTCATAACATAATATTTGTAAAGCTGTTAATAAAGAAATTAGAAATGCATGAAGTGCAAATGCCAAATCATTCTCTTGTACAGGTACTGAACCCAAAGGATTTCTTTGTATATATTGTTCCTTTATAAAGAAATTTATTTGAATATAAAACCATGATAATTCGGATCAATGACAACAAAATCGTATTAAAAACAGAAATAGGTAGTTACTGATAGTAGAATCCAGGATGCGTGTTTCATTTCAATTCGAACTTGTCAGCTGGATAGATTAAATTCATTCTAGAAGAAATGGACTTCATTCAACCAGATGAAAAATTCTCTTCTTTTTTGAAATCATCATCTTTTGAAGCTGAACAATCTCATTTATGAAAACGTCTCTTCCAGAAATTACAAAATCTTATTATTGTTAAAACTATTACATAATTCATATTCAATTAATTGAGATCCCTTGATAATTTTTAGTTACATTAATTAATTATGCAACAATTCTTTGTTTTATAGGCGAAGATGGATGGTGGCTAGCAGTGAAATCCAGGATGAGCGTCTCGTCATATTTGGAACACATTAGCTGGATGTACCTGCATCCTAGAATTGATATTCACTCCAGGACTCAAACTCATTATCGTTCGCTAAGATCTCCATCGCGTTATCTACTTAGCTATTGATGTTGGTTTGTTCTCTGAGCTGGGTGGTTTGGTCGACCAAACCACCCAGCTCAGAGAACAAACCAACATCAAAATCACCCACCTGAGCTACAAATCTCCACTTAGCTATTGAGTCCAGATAGCCACTGGCTCGTGCAATGGGATGAAGTTTTAATTCATTTTTGTATCGTTTGTTTAAACCTTTTCATTAATGTTTAGAACTGTAATTGATCAATGTCTTATTGGCATGTCTTCATACTGTGCGAAGATTCAAACAAACAATACAAAAATTAATTAATTCTTTATAGTTGAAATCATGAGTTAATCGAAGCTAGACCACCATAGAAAACCTGGAAGCACTGTACAGCCGTTTCGTCTTATTGTGGAACTCCTCAGCAGTGCGCATTCACGATCCCGCATCGCGGGATTCGAACACAGGACCTACCAGTCTCGCGCCAGAGCACTTAACCGATAGACCACTGAGTCGGCCGGCATCCAACGGTTTTAATGTCTAACTTTAACCAATCCACGACGTTAAGCAACCGTTCATCAATTGTCTTCAGTGAGTTGATATCTCACAACAGACCTTGTTGAACTCCATTGGACATTGCTTTTATTTATATAAAAAATAGGAACTGATCAAATATGGTGTTCTGGTTATTGATAATAAAAAAATATCAGTACTTGAGCATGATTATAAACTACTCATGACCTGTTATCAAATCGTTATTACGTTTTTTTTCTCGACACACTACTAACTACTGATTTGTTTAACATTATATTCATAAATAAATGGCTATTTACAGCAACTCCAAGAATCAGCAAATTTGTTGACATGACACTCTATACACGTAAATATATGGTAATGGAAATAATAATTATATAGGAATTAGAATGGAATCTATAGCAATTAGTCCCTTTGATAAATTTCGTTAGTGTAATAAGAAGACGAAGATCATCAGATTTACGTGATGATATATTCGAGCAATACATTTCGAACAATCTGATCACACATATATTTGTTAAGAACATTTATATATAACAATAAAAGGTCAACTATGTTATAAATGGAGGGTAAGAGGAGATTAAGATTATAAAGAAATCATGTGAAAACAATTTGAAACCTAATCACCCTGGATCATAAGCTAATATTACCAGGGTAGGTTTAAGGAGAGAACGAACTGTTTTTGAATACACATAGGGGGGGGGTTAAATTTTCGTATGGCTAAAGCTTCAATAAACCCCAGCATATGCCCTTTTATACTTTTGCACAACACCACAGAAGCTGAATCAAGATCAATACTATGACCTGTTTCAATTATGTGTCTGGCAATGGTGTGGCAATAGAATGAAATCCTTATTTTAACTGGAATGGTAATAACGATGACACTGATTGTAACAAAAACGGAGCAACAATTTGAAAAGAATTCTATTTATTTTATGTGCGAATGACAAGGGTATATCTTAGCACAACTAATGCAAAGGCATTATCTACAAATATAATAATATTTGTCATCTAAAAATATTTTCGATGATGAACGCTTAACTGTCGATTACTGGATACCCAATACTTCTGTTTTAAATCAAGTAAGAAATATTCAAAAGATATTAGGAATAAGGTACTGTGTCATTGATAGCTTTTCGAGAAAACATCTGTTTACGGACTAAATTCATTAAAAGTCCATTAGAAATTGCCCATCAAGGATTAAATTTAGTTAGGCAACCATTAAAAACCAGAAAATACTAAATAGCTCCTTATTATAAGTATGAAGCTCCTCAGCAGTGCCCATACACAGCACAAACGGTTATTGAACCCAGGACATTCAAGTTTCTGAGTGAGTACTTAACCGTAGTTCATGTGAGAAGCCCTGACCAGTTAACTGTAACCATACTGACTGTGAGTCAATTATTACCAATGTCAATGGATGATTGCTCCCAAATATCTCCAAACAAATGAAATAGGGAACGCACTACAGCAAATACCAATCAATTGGCCCATAACGTTGATAGCTTCCAACGTAACCTTAAACTCTAGGATCCCATCATCACTGTATACGCGTTACCAAAGAGTTCTATACCAGCTCACAACAGCTTTCTAGTGCTTCCTGGGTTTGGATAGCTATCTGAATTAGTTTAATTCATGATCTCAATAACAAAACATTACACAAAATAACTTTGTCAGCACCAAATAGAAATGAAAAGCAGGAATAACATCTATGAAATGAAAACCATACAACAAACCTGAATAAGTGGAATCCAATATAAACCAATATTGTATATACTGTAGAAGAAAAATCCGATCACATTTAACACAGCAAAGTCGAAATTGAATCCAACCACACTAGAACAGAAAAAAAAATAATAACATAGTTCTGATAATCTTCGTCCTCTCATTATCAAAATTTATCAAAGGGACTAATTGCTTTAAAATAATTATTTATGCAATAATTTAAGGTGATATTACCTGAGAAAATTAAATCTTACGGCTTAATTTAATTGGATGTAATACTTCTTGAATTGCACAAAAGAAATCTACTACATAAAAACTAATCATAAAATTCACAAAGATAGACGATTCACATGTAATTTTATAGTCATTCCCAGTAATATAATAAATTTATAATACAAATTTAGTGTGCTCTACTGGTATTGACAGATATAGATAGTATGTAGCAGTAATTGGGAATGGAATGCCTGCCAGTATAAAATTGAACTGAAGAGAACTTCCATCGATCCATGAAGTGTTGTGCAACCCTTCACTCAATACGGAATACACTCCACTTGTCACACCTTCTCACTGAGACTCTACGATTTGCATCTTTAAGTTAGTCACTAATGTCCACATGATTGTTATCAGTATAGAGCTATTAATATCGTTGCATCCCGAATCAGTGGGCTCAAAATTAAGCGTTCGTACGTCATATCGAAGGTCCTGGATTCGAACTCCTCTTGTGGGATTGTGAATTAGCGCTGTTGAGGAGTCCCATACTAGGATAAAACGACCGTCCAGTGCTTTTAGGCTTTCAGTGGTGGTCTAACTTAGATCGACTTATGAATTCGACTGCGAAAATATTGTACTCTACACAAATCCTGACACAACTTAGTTATTTCTAATAATTAATTATAATTATTTATGATTAAAAATATGTAATAATGGTAATTGTGGTTGAATGGGCCTCCTATTAAAGTGTAGATAATATGGTTTCACTCACAATCCAACTAAAGCTTTGTTTAACTTCACTAGCATACACAATGATGATAAAATGAACATTTTTTTATTAAATATGATAACCAAAATACTATTTTACCGTGAAATTGTCAGTTCTATAAATCCAATTAAGTAGATTCAGGAATAAAATTATTCACACCTTACATGACTATGAATTTCCCCGTCTAATTAGCTAAAAACTTCATAGTAAATAGTAACACTCAAAATCCATGATACTCTCATAAAAAATACTGGCTACATGATAACTTAATAGGAATATATTTGTTTAAATAGTAAACTCCTAATATTATGGTACAGAATTCATATTTAGATGATCTACTAACTGAAATTAAATATAATCATATGAAACCTATCGGTCACCTTTTTCGTCTACAGTTCAATATAAACTGTGGGTAGAATGAAACTGTCCAAGCGGTAAAATAAAGCCAACCAATAACAATTTGAAGTATATTTAACCAACGAAAATGCACCACGGTCACAGAACAAATAGGTTTACCTGCGCTTTAGAATAAAATCAAATTATAAGTTAAAATATACATGCGAATTCGTAATTTTTCACAAAATTCTAAAAGTTGTCGTGTCGATTGTGATTGGCTTGTTGCTATACTAGACTGTTACTTAATTATTTTTTATTAAATAAAATCAGAGCCAGTATTCCTAAATTTTATAGTCACTTGGTCATTTTCAGAAATATCGGTCGGTATAGTTTTATCCGAATCAAATTAATAAAGCATTTTCAAATCAAATAAGTGTGACACAAAACTATCATGTGAATAACTAGATAATACTCTTCTTTGTATTTGTTAATAACTGATTCTTATGTTACTTGTTGATAAATAAACTTAAATAAAACTTTTTTTAATATCAACCAACTAAATATAGCACTGTTTAGATTAAAATATTCAGTCGCGCTCTATAAATCTTGTTTCATGAAGCGACTATAGAATTCATTTGAACATCATAAGCTTCATGAAAACGGTGAAAAACATTCAATTTTTTCTTATGTGTACCACAAGATTTCTGCTAAATGGTTAACGTTACTAAAATCCGACATATTTATGCGGTTGTCTCACACAGTAACGAGTTTAACTACACTTATCTAAACTTTTTAGTCCCAAAACAAACATCCGATGTAAATTGCAAATCAATTAGTTTACATGGAAATAGGTCAACGCAAACTAAGCATGTACCTACTTCACAATGTTTACTCTTGGAGTAGGCTTTATTCCCAAATATATATGACCAGGAGTTTTTGCAAAAATGGTGAAATTCGAAGGTCCTGATTGCATCTTTCCTATGGTTACGTTATCGATGGGCCGGATGACAGAATTATTTGATTCTTTTAGTGAAATTAAAGAGCCATTTTGATTCCAATATTGAAACTCAAGAAGAACATCACTTTCCGCTGTGCCTCTGAATATAGTATATAAAACATCAAAAAATACCGATAATAACAAACGGAAGTAATTCAAGTTAACAAATGGCAAAACTCAGCATTTCATTAAACAGTTAAAAACAAGTATTATTTATTTCACTAGTCAGTTATCAAGTCAGTATTCACTTTTCACTATACTAGCTGATGATTGAACAATAAACGATCTGATACTTTAAAGTCTTCAACCATGTTGATCTTACTTTGAGCTCGCTTCTATACATTAAACTAGTTCTCACTCAAGTCACAGCTATATAAAGGACAGAACGTCCAGTTTAGTACAAAAGCTATTTAAGCAAAATTCAACACCTTATTAAATTCACTCACTTTTACACAGAACTGAAATGCATTTTCTTATAACATTGCAAATACGTAAGCCCTAAATTGTATTATTTAATTTATCGAAATAACTGATTAATACAATATAGTAAATTTCCATATTTGTAAACTAATTATACATTAAAATTCATTCGCCTTTTTGTACATTCAAACATACTATATTCAACTAAACCATTACAAACCATTTCTGTGTTAGGTAAACTGGTATTACTTAAGTTCTGAAAACAAAGCCTTATGCAGTTAATGATGTTGTTTAATTATAACAATCAATGTTCTAAAAGCAAAATTTATTATGTATATTGCTAAAGTCAGTTTTATTCGTGAATGTTTTACAATAGTTTGCTTTATTAATGAGATGGAAGAAAAATTAGAAAATTCAGCGACACTGTTTTATGATGAACGAGTTCATTTGGAATCATTGCTCAAACACAGGTATAGAATGTGAGTCCATACAAAACCATTTTCATTTGTTTTGTAATAATAGTACTTATACGCATGATTATTCCCTTAAAGTGTTTTTAGGAGTTTCCGAATAAAATGGAGCAATGACATATTTATCTTATCCACATGAACAGGATACTCACCAACCATCACTTACAGCTGAATATTTGATCCAATAAAAATAACCTAAGCTACAATATCACCAACCAATTACAAAAATGACGGAATGAAGGAAACACGTTCGATCAGGCAGTTGCGTTTTTATTAAAATTTATGACATAGTATACATGGACCAGATATAATTTAGACAATATTTGATAAAATGGAGCTAAAGCTTTATTAAACACTTCATCTGATTACCGGAGGATTAAATAAGTAAGTAATCCTTCATGTAAGACAAAATCATTTTGTAGAAAAAATATTTAAAAGATAACTTTTCGAAATTCTAAACAGATGTGTTGTCAATAACAGTAAATCAATTCTGACAACACCCCACGATAGTTAAATAAACAGAGTGTTATTAAGTGAATATAAATTGAACTTCGAGTACCGTATTCACGTTGGGATTCTGTTCAGATAGAACAGAATTATTACACTTCTCAAGACCTAGACTCAAAGTTGAAAGATGATCTATCACTAAATTTTGAAGGAAGAAATTATGGAATAACACTGACACTATAAAATCTCAGAGTCATAAAACAATATAAAAACATTGAATGGTGGCCTGTACAAGTCTTCTTATGATAATAAAACTAAAATCCACAGCATCTAAAGTTGCTACGCTCTTCTCAAAAATATGGTAACTGGACAATACTATGTCGAAGCTAGACCGTTTCGCTGAAAAGCTTCAATTCTCTGAGCACATAATTGTCATGAGTGACAAACAGATGAAAAGTATATGATAAATAATAACCAAACGAAGTAAATTTATAACTTACTTTAATCCTACAGATATTTTACTAAATCCACCTGACTGAAGATAAACTGAATTTGGTTTGAAAAAAACTTTGCTTGCATTCTCAAGACGAACAACTTCCCAAAGAACAAATGTATACAAAACAACAAATAACAAACGCTCTGACATTACAATTTCATAAATTTAACAGTTATTTGTGAAAACATTTACGGAGTTACTAGAGCATACAAACAAAGTTCATTGAAACCTAACAATGAACACTTTCCTCAATATAAAACTAAATAAATACTTCAATTTTTAGTAAACACTCATTTCCGTTCCATTTTTTACTTATTCAACCAATAATTTCTAGGAATAAGGTCAATAAAATCACTCAAAAATACCAATATATAGAGCTGTAGAGTTTAGCGACTTTGCAGGACAATTCGGAGGTTATTAGATAACCGGATCTAAGCCTGTGAATATGCTGTCTTGTTCTTCCTAACTTATCACTCCTAAATTCAAAAAGAAATGTTATGTAATACCTACAGTCACTATTGCATCTTGGTTTATTTGAATTCCAGAGGATGTTATTCAGATTAAAGAATGCTGCGCAGAAATTCCAACGGTTTGTGGATGAGGTCACTCAAAGCTTTGAATTCGGATTCCTGTATATCGACCATGTAATGATAGCTAGCAGTTCACTCTACAGACACATTGATTGACTACATCAACTATTCAAAAGATTTCAGAAATTCGGTACAGTTATTAAATCAACTAGATGCATTTTGTGCATCGAGAGCTTAAGCTTTTTGGGACACTCGACTAAAAAACGTTGAATCAGACCATTAGATGAAAAAAAGGTTCCCCAAACCAGATTCACTGAATAAATTTTGACGTTTCTTTGGGATGAATACTTTTTATCGTCGTTTTATTCTACACTGTCCAGCCATCCCGCAGCCTCTAATGGAGGGGCGAAAAAGCAAGTCGAAAAGTTCGTCTTACATTCCAAGCATAAGATGCGTTTTCTGCGGCTAGAATGTCAATTGCTTCCACAACCGTGTTATGTTTATGTTTAGACGCGTCGCAGGCAGTGGTACGTGTAGTACTACAACAGCGAGTAAATAATGAAAACGCTTGCTCAGTTTAGCATGGCTCAATCCTACATTCATTCTTTTTAATTAATTATTATTCACATTTGGCATATCATTCTATACCTAGCTCAAACGTATTCTTCAGAAGTGCTAAACAGCATATTGCTGAATGTCACGATACAGTGAGCTAGTATAGATAATGATGAGACTTCCACATAAGATCTTATAGATTGGGTAGTCATATCATTGCAAATCCACGATTTTTTGAATAGGTCTGTTGTTCTAGTACCTCAGACAAGTGTACTAATACTGACCTAGACCATAATTCCATAATACTCCGATAGGAATATACATTATTTGTGCCGATAGTGTATAGGAAGAAATTTTGTGATCGTCTTCGTTCATTATCTCATTCAAGAGTCCGTGGTCCTAAGAGACTAGCCTCAGAAAGATTTGTCTGGCCTAAAATTACCTCAGATATAAAGTGGTAAACCATAAACTGCTTTCAATAAGAGTGCGACAAAATTCTCAGGTCAATGATTACAATACTGTAAATATTCAATCTACCTGTTCATGGTTTTTAACATATTCATTTCGATTTAGTTGCTCTTTTGACCCCATATGACGGTTTTACTTACATCTTTACTGCAGAAGATCGTTTTGTCAGGTGACCAAGAGGATACTAGGTAAGGAACATCTCAATAGAAAATATTGCTGCAGTATCCCTAGACAGAAGGATTTCTGATTTTGGTGTACCCTCCGCAGTTACTTCCGACAGAAGTTTACAGCTTCAATCTCACCTCTCTAGTGAATTGACACTCATTTTCGACACTACCTCAATGCAGCAACATAAAATTTAGCCACAAATGAACTAGTGGAACGATTTCACCGACAACTGAACGGTTCGCTAACGGCACAGACTGACGTAACCAGATAGAGCGAATAAAAACTTCTGATTCTACTGAGCATACTCTCTACGATCATAGAAGACCAACAATGTTTACTTGCACAGCATATTTACTCAACAAACCCAACTATGACCACTTCTGAGAAACCAACACTGGTTGCAACCGAAGTTGTTAATATCACAGCTTTACAAATTTTGTTACTAATTCTACAACTTTACTCGTCTTAGAAACCATACATGAAGGAAGACAGGTGCATACTTCAAAACGTTATGTTGAGTTCTTAGTTAATTTCCCTTCTATGATTTTCTGTGGTGAGGGTAAACACCTATGTATGACTGTTAACAACATATTTTCACAAACAAATATCATCTTTAAAAACATCTGTTCGTGTGTATTTTCGCCATTGATATACTCACTAAATTACCCCCACATATGTAAGTGCAGTCCCAAGGATGGTCATTATAACTTTTTAATTGTTCCTTTTACTACCAGCAGTACACATGATAAATAAATAAATAAATAATAAACGTCGCATCTATGGGATGACAATGATATTGAGTTTGCTGCTGGCTTCATACTTCTTTTCATCCTCATCACAACTTTCTGATGACTCCGAAGTATACGAAACTTGTCTTGAACCGAGTTCGATTCTGCAGCAGCAAGGTGACCATGAATCATCATACCCAGGATTGAAGTCAGCCTTATCATATCTAATTACATTTCTTGAATGAAGTACATAAAGTACACTATTTGCAAGCGAAGTTTTTAGTCAATTGTTCTAACTTTATTGTATAATAACAGGTTTTTGATAAAGACCGTTATTTCAGATTAATAAGAGAAAGATTTGTTGCAAAGTGAACGGCATCGAGGCTCAGATTTGTGTAATGAGGACAGACCTGTGCAATACTTTTTCTTGTATACTTATATGAGCGCCTGAACGTTTCTTGGAAAGCAAACTGGAGGTACGGACACTACTTCTCCCGGTTTCAGGTTCCAACAGAAAATTACTCGACAATGAAACATGTATCCCACTGAGATTTCGGTCTTTCTTGAGTTTCAACACATTAGCCATATCACCCAGGCTATGTCGAGCTGGTCAATGAAGAATTGTATATCGCATTCGAAATCAATTTTTTTAATATCTTATATATAAAAATTAGATCACTTTCCAATCCCCGGCAAGTTAACGTGGGGGCGTTTAACTTCTTAAGTTGTACTGTGTGTAATGAACCTCAGGAAACTGTAGCTGCACTGGAAACTCTTCTTTGAATTTTCTTCCAGATCACTGAGTCACGATTTACTCAAAAGCTTACGGCTGGAACACGTTTTACTACTGTTATGCTTGTAGCCAAGTGGATGCCTAATTGATGTGTGACTTGATGAGACCGCCAATTAGGGAGCAGCGGATTATCGGTTGGAACAGTGACACACGAAACCCGTACGAGCAGTCTAGAGTGCTAACCGGTCCTGTGATCTGCTTAGCCCAGCCAGTTGAGTCCAAAACACCAATAACAGCCTCAGTGGTATGAATCATTATTTACAAACATACTGGGTTTTTATACAAATCAAAGTAAACAATAACTGAGTATAACTCAAGAATCGTATGATAATAAATCAAAGATCAAAATAAAGCTCATGATAAGAGAAACACGAATATGAACAGTTTAGTTACGTAACAATTGTACAATAGGAAATACGCATAATACATTGGTCGATAAATAGACCTAAAAGTTAACATTCGTAATTCACCGGGGGATATAACAACTACTTTGGGTCTCTTTACTGATGTGTATACCTTTGTAAAAGTATTTGCATTTATAGAGTTAATAAATTCCTGAAATAAATAGTTTTGAAAGTCTTTGACATTTGATGCTGACGTCATTATTATCATGGAAACATTTAGCTTAAGGCTCAATATACACGAGAGTTCACTGAAGTAAAGTCAAAAAGTACACAACTTAGGACGGAGTCTAACTGTACTTCACTAATTACTAGTTTTCAACAGCTGAATAAGAGCAAAGAAAGTCATGGCACAGGCCGAATACATCGGAGCAAATAAGAGTAATGTGGAGCACTTGGGTTGACAGGCAGAAATATGTGGAAGACCTAGCAGTGACAGTGGGAAAGCCTTCAAGAGAAGGATATATGAAACAACAACAAAACATGACGAAGAAACCATCAGGGAAATATAGTAAATCAGAAAGACCGGTCAAATACAAAGAAGGCAAGACAATAAATGAGAAACAAAAACAGCGGAGCAGGTGTATAGAGTGCTTTAAACAGCTCTTGTATAAACTAGTTCAAATGAATCCACAGAACCTTGAAGCAACACACACAGACCTACCTATAGATGTCACTTCACCAACGATCGAGGAAATTAGGATGGCCGTTTATTAAACAAATCAAGAGTGGGAAAGCAGTAGGACCTGTGAATACACCACTCGAAGAACTGAAGTCAGACATGCAAGTATCTGCAGGTATGCATCACTTTCTATTCAAGAAGATTTGGAAAGAAAAGCAAGTACCGTCGGACTGCAAAGAAGGATACCTCCTCAGGATACCAAGGAAAGATCTGAGCAAATGTGAGAACCACAGAGGGATTACATTACTGTCAGTTCCAGGAAACTTTTATACAGTGATGCTGAACTGGATGAAAGACGCAGTAGACGCTCAACTTCGAGAACAGAAGACCGGATTCCGTAAGGACCAGTCGTGCACAGATCAAACCGCGACACTGTGGATCATTGTCGAACAGTCAGTTGAGCCGAACTCGTCACTATACATCAACTTCACTGAAAATGAGAATGCATTTGACAATGTATATTTGAGAAAATTATGGGACCTTTGGAAATGTTATGATGTACCGGACAAAATTGTCAATATCTAACA